GTCTCCTTCGTCGGTGTGCTGGTAACGATTTTTGAGAACGGCTTCACTTCGCGTCTCCAAATCGAGAGCAAACTCCGCTGTCCGCTTCAAATCATGGACAGCTGGAATGACAAAATCTTTCTCAACCCGTGTGACCAGCTTCATCGCATCCTGGGCTCGAGGTTTGCCGCTACCAGGTTCAGGGAAAAGGAAAAGACGCGCTTGCTTTTCGTATTCCTTCGCTTTCGCTCGGGCTGATCGGATGCGGTCGAGGACGGTAGGATCGATCGGGATGGTAGACTCCAGGGTGGCAAACTCCTCCAATTCGCTGATGTCTTTGCAAGGTTTGCCTAGAAGGTCCTTCGCCCGCTCCTCCCAATCGTCACCAGCGCGTTGACGGTCCTCCAATAGGACCATGTACTTATCATCCGCAGGTAACTCTAGAGTCCGTGCTCGGGACAGCAACATTCGGACTTCCTCGAGGGTTGTCTGAGGGTCGTCTATCTTTTCTTCCAAGTCCCGAATAAGCTTCCCTCTTGAGGCGAGTTTCCCAATACGATCCATCTCGTCAAGATGGACATTGAAGGATGATGCGTGAACCATGAGAGTTTCGCACTCCCGAGTGAAAGCGTCTCGATCTTCCACGTTGGCTTCAGAGGCAAGGATCCCTAATGCTTTTGCCTTGATTTCTTCCGCCTGGGTCGCGAGTGTCCTCAGAGTAGCGATCTCTGGACAGTCAAACCCAAGATTATCCACCTGGCGCAAAAGATCGTACAACTCGTCCAACCCTCCATCTGGTCTGTCGCCAGGATCCTCCGTTCCAGCCTCGGCCATAGATGGTCGACCCCGAGATTTCCTCGACCGCTTACGACTTTGCTTGCGGACAATAAAGGTGTTGGCAGCATCGATCCACTCGCTGCCACGATTGACGCATTTACGGAGAGCTTGGAGCTCTGAGAGGTGGAAGTTGATTCGCTCCCCATCAGCCAAAAGGGTCTTGAGAGTGCGAAGCTGCGGTCGTGCTGTCTCGGCTAATGCTTTGTGCAATTTTGCAAGCCAATTGTCGGGGATGGCTGCCCGTTCCTCCACCTTCTTCAAAGTCTCCACCAAGGTCTCGTCTGAGAATCGTTTCCGCAATATTCGTTGAGTGATGGGGCATTGGCAGAGGAGGTCGGCGTGGTCGTGACACGCCACCCTACTTGTACATCGGCATGTAACTTGCGACAAGTAGCAGAAGACTTTGCAGACGCTGCACTGGTACTGATCTTCTGAGCGGTCTTCTTCTTCTAATACCTCAGTATAGGCAAGGGCTCGGGCTTGCTGACGGAGGGTGATCTCTCTGTCAGTCATTTCCTTGAGGCTTTCGTATAACCTGATCGTGAAACATGAGTTGATTGTTGCATACTATAAACCATCAGGCTTACCAAATGGCCGTGTGGATGGATTGTGATTGTTGCGTAATAGTGATCAGGAGTTCGTCGTGCGAGAAGACTGGCAGTTTCCTGTGCTCGCGATATCGTTGGACACACGACAATCCGAAGGGAAGCCAATCGGGTAAGGCGAAGTTCACGGCCTCATTGAAGTTCAACTGGACAGATGGTTTCAAAATGCACTGACAAGGACCGTAGGGAGGTACTTACGCCATGGTTGAAACCAGCGTGGTATGCTTTGGGATATGTAATGACAAAATCACCGGCTCGCTGGTTGCAGGCGTAGACGCGCACTCCAGCATCAACAAGGCGCTTCGGATTCATAAGAGTTACGAGCTGGAAGAGAAGATCAGGCTGAGCTTCGAATAGGTCTGGAGCTTCTCGCTTGATGGCTGCTTCGAATTTCTCGGCGTCTTCTCCGGGAATACCATACCAAGTCTTCGTCTCCCCCCAATGCACTGCGGAAAATGTATATAAGTGATTCACCGAAAGGCCTGGTATAGACTCACTGTAGTTGATGCTGTACGTGTAGTGGTCCTATAGTACACTGAGTCGTAGTCGAGAAAGGAAAATAGGCCAGTGACTCACCTCGTTGTGCCAACAGAATGTGGAGAACAACATCCCTACGTACGTCCATGGTACAGTCATACCACAAATATCAGACTTGATGTATCGAAGAAGTGATTCAGAGACAATGGGTATATTGTTCACGTTCCAAGGATCTTTGGAATAAGGGTTGAGCGGGTGTGTTTCTAGGGTTGGCATAGCGCTGCAAGGACCGGTTACTCAGTAACGATAATCGATATGACACGTGGAAATTACTCACCTGCCATGGGTAGTGGAGTGAACGTCCGCACCGTATTCAACCTCCACAGTGTCGTGTGGAGACTGAACAAGCCGCCAGAACTCTTCCTCTACGTCATATTCTGAGACTTTCACGTCCCCGTATTTGTTGATCGTTGGGTCGTCATCTGCGATACCAGCTTGTGGGGGCGGATGCGACTGAAACCACATCCGACGAAACTCCAGATCTCGAGCCTGGAAGCTAGATAGACTGTGTTCCTCTCCTTCATCAAAACCAAAGTCGCCGCCTGTTCCAAACAAACATGTGTGGCAAAACCACTGCCCCTTGGGAATGGTCGCCAACGGAGGGTCCAGGCAGAACATGTGAAATCCTGCAACAGACTGTCACAACCGGTACATACGAAGACAAGGAAGGTGGGAACACACCACAATCGCAACCGTCGCAGAGAAGCATCTCTTCACCTCGATTTTTCTTGCCACAAACTTCGCAACTTGTCTAACGAACATAAGAATTTTCAGACCGGACAAAAAAAATTGTATTCTCACCTCCGAGGATGGAGGACCTTTTGGCTCCTTCTTATCATGGAAAACAGGCGACGCAACAACAGGTGACGGTGGCACAGCGCTTCCGTCAATTTTCCTCGGACTCGCTGCAGCGTCGATGGATCAGACAGGATCCGTCAGAAAACATGAATAGAGACGTACGAGTGACCCGTTCTTGAGAAGCATTGCGCGAGCTTCTCAGTACCTTTACGTTGTCTTCGCTGACTGGAATTTCACCATCGTCGGGGGGCTCCGACAAAGGACTCGACGTGGCGGTCAAGGGACTTGATGGCGGAGTAGTATCATCCCGTGTCGTAGCAGGAAGGTTTAATCGACTGAGTCTGCCCGCTAGCTGAGAACTTGTCTGAGTTCTGGCCTGATCTCGGGGTGTTGTAGGCGATAACGCAGGCGAATTCCGAACACGGTCGCAATAGTGTTCATAGGGTAGAATGACTCGAGTATACGAGTTCTTGATCTGCGTAGAAAGACCTGGAATCCCACCATAACCCAACAAGCGGCCCAAGTCTGCCCATTTCTTGCTTCTCGTCACCTATGGGGTGGGAAATGACTTAGCCGAGGCTTAGAGTACGTGGCAGATCGATGGATATTTACAGCTTCATATCCGCCCAATTTCTTCACTTCTTTCCTGAGGAGCCATAAATCTAGCGGTTTGTGGTTGATCGTCGGAACCGATACACGTGGGTTTCCTTGTTGCTTATGGAAGCGGTAGAGCTGCTCCAGAAAGTTGATCTTGGCTCGAGAGGAAGCTTCGATGGAGTTGAGACGCATCAACCGTGTTTTGAAACGAAAGTTCTGGTAAGTGGCGAAAGACAAATGTTCACGTTGAGCAGTCTTCAAAAACCCGACACTTGACGCACCTCTGTGTCGGTAACAAACGGCATTTTCCAGTTGTCTGGAGGGACAATCTTGCACATGCCGTAATGTTTGGCGATATCCGATACGGAACGGATGTAAGCCATAGGGTCTCGAAACTCCTCAGGAGAAGGGTGAAAAGTCGGACAATCCTCCAGTCCAAAGGGCCGTGGCTTTCCCTTGGGAGGAAGATTTCGAGGAGTCGAAGTTCTAACCGAATTCAGGTCTAAGGTTGGGGATACGGGAATTGGAGGGCCATCTCTTCGATAAATACTGGTAACTGTGTGGGATGAAAATGGATCGCTGAATTCTGGAGAGGAAGGTGTAGCGGAGTGGGTTTGCAATGCCACAAGGGCGTCCGTCTTGGACTTTCGGGGCGCTCTCTTGTTTTCATTGGTCGGTTGTGATGAGCTATCGTCTGGCGCAGTCAACAACTCGTCAGTATGCTCAATTGGAGATGCTCCCTCGACAGCAATGGAAAGACAAGAAGTAAAAGAGGTGGTGGGTTTGGCGGCGTCCTCTGTGGGCATGGCGGTTGGGTTAATACGACCTGGAGTGTCGGCTCGAGATCGTGGAGATTTACCCCGTCGTGCGGGGGTGCCACGAGGGGCAGCCACCACTGGGCTGTCGGGCATTGTAAAAGGATGGAGTTCCAGATGGCCAGGGAATCTGGAGGCGCACGGAGCGAGCAGATGCAAAGTAAATAAGGGAGGGAGCAGTGTGGGAGCGGTGCTTCAAATGGTGGTCCAAGCGATGCAAGATCCTGCTTCTTCGTGGGAACACCGCCGTCGCCACAAAGGAAGCACCTCAAATTCGAGAACGTGGCTAACTTGATCCTTCACTAAGCTCAGTTCTCCTCCATCTACCGGGCTTCCCCTGCAAAATCAAAATAATATGGGGCGTACAAACTTTGATACACCCGCGGAGAGGTTCCTATACTCGTGGTTTTCTCGACCAGGCCCCTCCATCCTACGCTTCATTTGGACATTCTTCTCGCCGGGTGTTGGAATCGGCCGGCCGCTTTCTCAAACTTTCTGTATTTACCTAAAGAAGCCATGTCTGACAGAAGCCTGGGTGCTTCTCAATGAACCTTCGCGCCAATTTCGCGTTGTTGCCTTGCTGTGATAGCGCTCGGAGCAATTCAAAAGCGTCACCACAAGCGCTGTCCGCTGTCCCGGGCGCCAGCATGCCTCAACCAGAGATAATAAACGAGTGGGAATATACGCAGATAGGTAGTAGGGGAGGTCGACTACCTTTGTTCAAAGTAATATACACGATCGTACAACGATTTCAAAAAACGGCACAATACTCCCGCCCCTTTGAAATGGGACCAAAGATAACACAAAAGTTAGAAGCCAGGACTTCCTGATCAGCCCCCGGTGGGACTCGAACCCACAACCTCCAGATTAGAAGTCTGACGTCATAGCCATTAGACAACGAGGGCTTGTACACTGTTGGATATATGGGACCATAACCTCAGGACAGTCAGACTCACCATTAGAATTTTGGGGCTGGGTATCATCATTGACGGTATATGAACTGCAATTACAAGGACGAAGTGATTCTGCTAAGTAATATGAAAGGCCAGAAGGAGATCCACACGTAACCCATCTACCCTACTTTTTCGCCGCCGCCGCCCGTAGCTGAGCACGCAGGTTGCCATTCTCTGTCTGAACAGAATTCAACTCGTCCAACAAAACTGCCCGCTGAGACTGCTCTGATGTCCGCATAGCATCAATCTCCTGCTCTGCCCGTTGCAATGATGCGCGACACTCGGACAACTGTCCCTCCATTTGCCTTCGCAAACTGTCTGATGATGACGCCGCTTCCTCGGCAAGGGATAGTGTCCTAGCGCTGAGAGTATTATTAGCATCCGTGAGCTGATCCAGAGCTTCCGCTTGCTGAGCAGCATGAGTCTCCAGTTCAAGCTTCTCCGCCGAGATTCGGTCGATAGTGTCTTGCAGCTGCTTCACCTCATTCTGCCTAAATTGAAGTACCCAGCATAAATAACCAGACAATAATAAATGAAAAATAACAACGGACAATGCAGTATTCCTGGCAACCATAGTCATGTTGCGCTCCTCGAAGACTTTCACTTGCTTTTGATAAGTCTCCAGAGCAGAATTGCTGTCCTGAGCCAATTTCTGCGCCCTCTCGGCATTCTTCTTTAATAAATCATGAGCCTGAGCAAAGCGGATCAGCCGCTCGATAAGCGCACGATCGTCTTGAATGAGGGCTTGTACACGAGATGCAAACGCCTCGACAGAAAAAGCTGCTGGATTGGGTGAGTTGGGAGCCCCAACTCGGTTGTCGTACAACGTTTTTAACGACCGAACGTCCATGTCGGAAATGGAGCTTCCACCGGCGGGAACCCTGGGGCTACTTGGACTACTGGGAGATCCAGTTCTGAAGGTTCGAGCGCCGAGTTTTGAAGCTCGCGCTTCGGGGGAAGGCAACATGGACCATATCGGCTGGAGAGATGCGATTAGTGAAGCAGCATCTCCGCTGTACTGAACTGTGGGCGACGCCGGTAAGCGCTGGGAAGCAATCTCCGACATCCGTTTCGATTGTTCCTTTGACTATGATCAGATTCACGTATGGCCCGTGAAATACGGCGAATACCTTGAGGCGTGACTCCAGCACCCTGGCTTCCTTCGCTGCCTCGTCCCTCTCACGTCGAACCTGTGCGATCTGCTCTTCAAACTGGGAGGCCAAGCCCTCGAGATGAACGTCAATGGATGAAGCCAGCCCGATTAACGATGACTCGCCGGACGACGTGTCCATTCCGTGGGCTTGCACCAGCGCGTGGAGAGCGTCGCGACAATCATCTAGCTCCGCATGCGCCTCGTCCAGGGCGTGTTGCAGTTCATCAGAATGATGTGACCTCTCCGTATCCTGTTGTCCCCGGAGATTTTCAACCTCCTTGCGCTTCTCTTCCAACTCCTCTCTTGCTCGCAGTAACAACGTCTCCATCTCGGTTGCTTCTCCACTTCGCTCTTCTAGAACCTCCAATCTCCGCTCAAGTACTTCCACTTGTCGCTCCCGCTCGGCCAATCGCGACTTGTCCTGCTCCCATTGTCGTTTCTCTTCCTGCAGCGTTTGCATTTGAATATCACACTCGTCCAATTTCGTCAACTCTTTCTCCAGCGACACAATCGTCTCTTCCGCATTCTGTAACTCCATCCCCATGGTTGTTTCCAATTCCGCCTTTTCTAACTGAAGCAAAGACAACTCTTGACGCATCTCCACTTGCTTCCTGTTAGCTGCGTTCAGCTTGTCGGTCGCGACCTTCAGCTTCTCCTCCAGAGCAAAGACGTCGGCGTGTGATGGGGTAGGTCGAGGTAGAGTGGGAACAATCGCATCCGCGTGTCCAGCGAACAGGTGGGCCCCTTCAAATCGACCTTTCGAGGAAGTGGATGCACTCGTTTGAGTCGACAAAGTTGGACTCAGCTGGGACATGAGATTTGGAGTGTCAAATCCAGGACCATCGACCTCGCCATTGAGCCCAGGAGGAGCTGTCTTCTTTTCCATGCTTCTCACCGACATCCCTAGAACACCAGCTCTATGCTCTAGGAGCTTGCGACCAACATCATTGGCTCTTTCTGAAACACGCCACAACTCCTTTTGAGCAGCATCCACCCGATTGTTGGCAGTTTCAAGCTGTTCTTGTGTTTGTTTGGAGACCTTCTTATGGGACGCGTTAACTTTCGAAAGGGATATGGCGGCATCGCGGATCTTCATCTCGAGAGACAGCTTCTTGTTCAAAGCTATCAGCCGTGCGCCAAGCACTTGTTGCTCCTGCGTCGCGTGTATAAGACGGGGGTCTTCCGAATTATGTGTAACATGTCTCACCTTTTTGAGCTCCTCAACGTCTTCCGCACTCAATATCGGATAGTCCCTGCTATCCACGACTGCTTGGCTAGCAAGAAGGGATATTAACAGCTCATCCCGAGTGTTGAAGGATTGCGAGGAGTCGTGTGCACTTGAATCGATCTGATGGATCGTCTTTCGGATCAACAAAGATTTACGAGTTGGCATAGCGGGACGAAGGGGTGATGACGAAGACGGTCCTGCGCCAGGAGAGGATGGTAAAGATTGAGTACCGTTGGGAGGCTTCACTGGCGAAGATTGACGCAGGGAGCTTTGACTGCGTCGAGCTGACACTACGGATGTATTCAAGATTGGGCGAGTTGATTGTAATGATGAATCAAATGTTTCATCTCCATTACCCTGCGGAGATGGAGGTGCAGGCTTCTGCTTATCCTTCCTAAGGAATAGACCGACGGTGGTAGTCTTGGGACTTCCAACGGGTGACTCTGCGTCCTGTTGATCCTCGGTGGGACTCGGAGGTGGCCATGAAGGCTTTTTCCCTGAGATGACCAGAGGAGCAGTGGGCTGTAGTGGTGGTGGTGTTGGCGGCGGTTGAGGCTGTTGGGCGGTCGAGTTGGAGCTGGCGACCCCTCCGAGAAAGCGTCGAACTCCGTTCATGGGCTCAAAGAGCTAGAATAGCAATTAGAAATATGAAACAGTCAAGCACAGTTCGACAAGCAGAGGGATATAGTACGTGTAGCGGTCGGCAGCAGCCCAGCTGCAGGAACAAAGCCGAGAATGGGTTGACAAGGCACTGGGTAAATTAGCCAACCTTACGCACACGAACGGCACACCGGATTTTACATCTCCACCCTCTCACCATCCGACTTTGCTCTCGCAGCATGCTGCTGTCAATCTATAGCATTTATATCCTCAGACATCCTGTTCTCTGAGCGAACGCATCGTCTACGCTTGCCCACCATGTCATTTACTTTCGAATGGCCACGATTTTCCGATCAATTCCACGCAGACGCGATCCAAATGCTCAATGCCGCCTTGAACAAGGGGAACAAGCCTCCCGTCATAGCTGACAAGATCGAAGTGGTGGAACTGGAAATGGGCACCGAGGTTCGTTGTTACGCCTTGGAGTATCCTCCCATTTGCTGAGTGCCTATCATCATTAGCCTCCGGAGCTGGAAATTAGAGACATCGGGGATTTGACTCTCGATCACTTCAGGGGAATATTTCGGTTGACCTATGCAGGAGATGCACACATCGTGTTACGGACGAAGGTTCAGGTACGGTGCGGTTTACCATCCCGTCAAAATCCTTGCTTATTCTTCCTAGGCGAACCCGCTGAACCACAAGCAACCTGATATTCATCTGATGGGGGGATCCAGGGGTATGCTTGCTGCGAAGCAACCGTTGGTGGTTCCCATGCTCCTTCGACTTTCGCACTTCAAGTTGAACTCCTATGTCGTGCTGGTCGTCTCGAAGCAAAAGGGTATCACCCTTGTCTTCAAGACCGATCCCCTCCAAAATGTCGACATCAACAGTACCTTCGACTCTATTGCCGTTATACAGAAATATATACAGCGAGAGATCGAGGGTCAGCTGCGACAAATGTTTCGGGAGGACTTGCCTGGGATAATTCATCGTCTGAGCCAGCAGTGGGTGAAAGCGAAAGTCGAGGCACCGTATTTGTCGAAACGGCCTCCTGTACCTCCACAGCGAGACCTGGAGACGATGTCAATGCCCGATTTACCTCGTTCACCACGAGTATCTGCTGTCGGCATACACCCAACTTTACTCCGTCGGCAAACCACTGGGGTACCCGGCATCTCACGCCCCAGATCACCTTCCAACGCATCTGTCGCTAGCACAAGTCGAATCGCATCCAAACCTTCTCCTTCCTCCACTCCATTGATGAAAACGCCACCACACGAAGGCCCCACGACATTCCCAGACATCGAAAATTTCGACCCCACGTATGGGATGCGCCCAGAAGGAATTCCTACCAAAAGTCTCTTCAGTGGCTTTGGTAGTTTATTCGCACCCACCAAAGGCCTGGCGGATTTGTCGGAGGACCCGACGGAGGACGGAGAACTGGATATGGCGTCTCAGTCATTTGATATGGTGGACTGGGAGGATACAATCCCTGATTACTCTTCTCCTGCAACAGAGATTGACGAAGAACCTGTTGCGGAGTACGAGACACTGCCCGCTGTCGGTGGGGGGACGATTACTCGCCCTCGTATCCTTCATTCACAATCCCAGATCCATCCTCCTCCTGAAGTCAGCCTTCGTCCTTTGGGAGGTTCAGAACCTCGAGATATGTCATCCCGATTCTCGAGTAGGGCTCCTTCAACAACCTCCTCTCCGCGAGGTATTCTCCCTGCATTGCATCCCCATGCACCGCCCTTAGGGCGATCAAATTCGATGTCCAGTTCCTATTTCCCCACGCTTCCCCACCAGTATGCTCGATCAGTCGGCGATTTCACCCCTAGCGTGGAATTTCCCTTATCCTTCCGGTCTCCTCGGAACACCGGCTCCATCCTATTACCATCCCAGCGACCACCACCTTTATACCCATCCCCACTACGACCGATATCTCCCGATGGACATGCTCGACGA